TTTTTTAATTTATTATATATATATATATATATATATATATATAAAGTAACTCAAGTGGATAGCTATAACTCTGCTTGGTTCTCAAGCTGCCCCATCATAACTACTGCTGTGGCCTCCCACCTCCTCCATAGCAACCATCACCACAGAACAACAAGTCAGAGTACTCAGAAAAATGACTCAACTGGTTTGCCTTTAGAACATTCCTGCTCTTCAGACACTGGAGAATCAGTGTCACTATGAAATCACTCTGTCATAATGTCCTGTACTCATATAGCACAATTCACCCAAATGCTTTCAAAGATCTTTAAAATTTTAAGCATCACAAAAAAGTTAGTTATTACATTAAATGGGGAACTGATACTCAAAAGTTGCAACTGCAGTTATGGTCAAAACACTGTTTAAATATGGTAGCTTTCTCATGAAGTATGCTCCTTGTATGGTTTCTGAGTTAAGTCTGCTGACTAAACTAACAAAAAGTAAGTTGTGTCTGCTTTTTGTTCCCGGTAGCCCTGTCATAACAATTTTGGAATTACAAAGTGTGATAGGATCTATTCTGGTTTATGCATCATCAACAGAATTTTCTATTGAGTCCCAAATGTAGAAACTATTATTGGGAATGATGAATGAACCAGAAAGCATACTTTGACTTTTCCAACCCAGGTGACATTTCAGCACTCAGTAAGAAAACAGGTCTTTTGACTTATAAGCTGAACAAGTGTGATTCTGCCTGTGACAAAAAAATGCAACCCTACCCCAGAAACACCATGGCCACATTTTCCTGAGAGTAACATCACACTTGCTGCGACTTGTGCAAAGTCACACGGCTAGTGAGTGGCAGACCAGGGAACAGAACTCGGGTGTTCTGCTCATCTACCAAATGCACAAGACCCCCCTCTCACATTATAATGGTGCACAAAATGGTGCTGCAAGAGTGATAATTTATTTTACATGTTGGTTACTATTTTTAATGCCAATTTAAGTATGAACAAAGTAAACTCACCTGCAGACACTTGGTGGTGCACTTACGGAGCTGTTTGTGGTTGAAGTAGGGGGTGCAACTGTGGAGGGACAAAGACCTGAATGTGGATCCACAAATCCAGGGGCCGTTGCAGCAGTTTTGGGGAAAGATGGAGCAGCTAGATTTGGGATATGGGGTGTAGTGGCTGGAGACAGTGCAGCAGGAGAGAGTGAAGGAAGGGATGCTAAACTAGTAGGGCTATTTCGTGGTGCAACTGGTGCAGAATGTCTATGGTCCTCTTTATTGATATTGTGGAACACTTCTCCTAAATTTGGGGAAAAATAAGTAAGTAAGTAAGTAAGTAAATAAATAAATAAAATAAATAAAGTTTACTTCTTTTTTTGAAGGAAGTTAACAGAAATCTACACAAGCTCTAACCAGCCATTCTTGACGTCTAGCTCTTTAAAAATCAGGTAAGTGATCTTTTTAGTCACAAACTAAGTAATTAAGATATTCAAGCATATTTAAAGAATATATCTTTAAAATGTATTTTCCATTTTTACACACCAACATTTTGGCCAAACCAACCTCAATCTCAGGAATCATGATTAAGTCCTTTTGGGTTAAGAGATTACAGAAAAAATATAACTCAAGATTAATAGCTGAGTTTTGATTAAAAGAAGCTGTTTAAACCATTTAAATACGTAATATAAATAATATTTTAAACCCTTTGTGGCTCATTAATTTAGCAACTGACTTCAAGTTACTTCACATACATTATAGTTCTTACCTATTGATGAAGGTCTCTTAGATGATACTTTAAACTGGTTGCTGCTTGACTGCACTGTAGTAGCTGTGCAGGAGACAGAAGAAGTGGCAGAAGAGGTTGCCATGACAACTTTATTAGCTTCCATAAAGGCATCCTGGAAATTGTACAGACATTTCTTCTTTGCAGCATTTTTTTTCTCTTTGCTATCTGTAACTGCTGTTGCTTCATTGCTAGATGTAGCAGGAAGTGCTTCAGGACTTATTTCTGAGAGTGCTGGTGCTAATAGATCACTCCCTTCAAGTGAAACACACAGAAATTAAGACTTCTAGAATTACCAGAATTGTGTTTATGGCACTTGCCCAGATTTAAGCATGTTATAATTTTCTGAACTCTGATGTGTACTTCTATATCTAGCCATGTATGTTATTACTGGCCTGATAGGACTACTGAAGTAAATATGTTCTCACTGAATGTTAGTCTATGTAAGTGTAACTAAATTTAAATTCTCAGGCCGATTTGTCATATAAACTAAAATTTGAAATGTGTTCTTAAATATCAGTAGCGGTAATAAGCAGCATGCTGCATTACTGTACATATCTGTTCAAACTTTTAATTTTTTAAAGTGAATTTACATTTGTGAAATGTGTAAGATTGACAGCTCTGGAGTCTAATGCCCAGTTTAGCCATATAACGCAAAAGGCACTGACAGCATACCACCTCAATCAGAGTGAGAAGAAAATGTAGCCTAAATGCTTACTTAGTTATTGGTGACTCCAAGTGGCAGTTTGTGCTGGTGTTTTTTGGGGTCTGACTTTCCATAACGGAGATTACTCACTCACATTTTCCCCCACTAGTGACCTGGATGGAGTATTTTGTTAGTTTTTTAATGCTACTAGTAGCTGGGTACAAATTAGAAACAGGCCAGACAAGAGACAACCAAAACAAAAGGCAAAATAAAGTCTCACAACAAGACAGTTTTTCAGTGAGTCATGTTTTACGACAGGAAGAAGTCTTGCATAAAAATGCAATATTTGTAATGAAAACAAGAGAAGTAGGTACATGTATACATTTACTACTATTTTACTGGTTTAGTTTCCTCTGTTCTATCTCACATGAATATTTTAGATTTCAGGAATGTTGCTGCAAAGCAGCACAGACTTTTCTGTATCCAACTGCCAATTAGAATTCCCTCAGAGATTTACTAGTTTAATGAAGCAAGACTCACATGAACCATACATGTACACAATTCCAATTTGGACAAGCCCCTAAATTCCTGACCCTATAGTGACAGCTGATCTATAAATTGTTCCTTTTTATGATAAGTGAAAAATTCAAAGGTCTAAGGAAGTGATTCTACAACATAATGTAACATGAAAATATTCTGAAGCTTGTTTTGCATCAAAAAGTCATCTATTCTGGGTTCTTCTAGCTTTTCTCTCATCACAGCGACAAGAGGAAGGAATTTGTGGCAGCTGTTGTGTTGTTAGTCTAGCAGTTCTCCTATAATTTTATGAAACAAGATCAAGGTCTTGTGATAGGAGACTCAGGATTTTAACTTCTTATCCCTGCCTTATAAGCATCTCTCTAAACCCACATCCTTCTGTAGCTGCACAAATCTGAAGATGCAAGCATCTCTATAAATTTCTCTATATATACCGGAGGCCAAGAGAGGCAGTTTCTTTTTGTTTTTGCCCCTGCAATGAGATTAAAGAGTTTCTACTTTCATGTTTTCAGCCACGGTATAGCTATCATGACTCCCTGTCTATGCAAATCTTTAACTGCTTTCTCAAAAATGATAATGAAATGTACCATTGCCAGACAAAGTGCCACATTCAGTTTCATAATGCAGTTTTCATAGCTATTCAGTGTGAAATTATAACAAACCCTCACCAGGAAGTGTGTCGGGCAAAAAAGTAGCTGGATTCCAGTTCTTGTCATTCATCATTTCTGATCCCCAAAGACTTATAAATTTAGAGCTATTCCAGTCTGGAGTGCTCCCAAAACAGCTTGGATAAATATGATCTTGGAGCGATGCATTGAATACCTGATGCTTGTTTGTATGATTCTGAACCGGTGCTGGCGGTAATGCCTACAAAAATTATAAGAGTATTTTCTAATTAATAGTCTGTCTGCCTACACAGTTACTCCAACAGCAATATTCAAGTTTATTATAATAAAATGTTATGATCCTGTAAGAAATTATGTAAACCAAAAACTAATAAAAGTTTGTCTCCAAAAGTAACAATTATGGCAGGTTTGTTTATATTTATATATGCATATGTGTGGGTCGTACCTTAACTGCATGTATGTATACACACGCTTATATATAGCTCTTAAAGAGCAACCAGCTGACAGAAAATTTTGAAAACATTTTCCTTTTATAAAAAGGTGTGTGCATACTGTGTTTCTGTTGGTCTTCACTTTTTATTAAAAATTATATTTGCATAAAAACTGAACCTTTAAGGACTCATTATTTTTAACCTATTATCTGTGCCTATTCAGCTGCTTCACAATAAAACCCCATTTTAGAACCCCCTTTCTGCCCGACCTCAAAAAGTCAAAGACCTTTTTTGTTAAAAAGTCCAAAACCAACTAAACCCTACTCTTTGACTTAATTTTTCCTCTTACTTCATATCCCTGAAGCTTTTCTAATATACTCACTTCACACCTCTTCTACAGAGGTTACCAATATAGTTTACTTTCATCTGAATATACACCAATTGACGTGTTCTGTGATCTTTTTGTACGATACACTAAGATTTTGCATTCCAACTATCTTTGTTTTCATCACAGAAATACACATTTCATTCACTTTGGACCAGACGTTAAAGCCTCCATCTCAATCAGACTAAGATCTGTGAGTGCAAGTTTCCTTTAATCTGGAGAGTTACACTTTAAAAGTAGCATTGCAGAGTCCCACATTTTCTGAGTCACTGACTCCATATCAAGTCTGCTCCATTTTCAACTAAAGATTTATAGTTTTCCCAATTGCCAGCTCCGCATATACAACTTGGAAACTGAAAGTGAAGCTGTTTTTCCCCTTCTCACATACCACTGACAGTAAAAGTGATTCAGCCTGTGACGCTGGCAGACCAGCTGCCACCTCATGACAGAGCCACAGTCCAATTCACTTGTGTATTAGTATAGATCAAAGTGATTGTTAGGTGCACAAGAGAGTACTTGGTGTTTAAACTTCGTGAAAATTAATGGGATGTTACTTGCATTGTTTTCACTTATTTGTATCCGGTTATAATGTAGTACCCAACATTTACATTGTGTATGCCCTTGTAACTAAATAATCCATCAAATGAGAAAGAAGCCTTGTGGAATGCTAATCATGAATTTTAACAGAAAAGTGCTAATTTCAAAGCAAGTGGTCATTGTGAGAGATGATCGGAGGTCAAAGATTCAAAAATGCATTCCTCACTATCGGTCATCAAATGAAAAGCCCACGTGGGTAGTAAAACTGCCAGCTTGTTTTCTGTGAAAGCAGGTATAAGTATGGATTAGGGAAAGATCCTGCGTGTTTGGACTCTTACAGGGAAGTGTATCAGATACAAAACAGAGCTCCCAGAGACAATCTGAGAACCCTGAAAAGACTTTGGGAAACTGGCAATTTATTATATCACTGCCACCATTTGGAATTACAAACTGACTCGCCTGTACATATATTTTTACCTGTTTTAACCTCTCAATAACTCTCACTTCCTTTTCATAGCTAATAAACCTTTAGTTAGTTTACTATACAATTGGCTACCAGAGCTGTCTTTGGTGTAAGATCTAAAATACCAATTGATTGGGAGTAAGTGACTGGTCTCTTGGGATTGGGAGCAACCTGAGTGTATTGTGATTTTTGGTTTAATGACAAAGTCCAGTTTGTTTAAGTGGCAAGGTAGACTGGAGGGCCTAAGGAGACTGTCTGTGATCTATGGTAAGACTGATATAATGATTCAGGAGTTCACATTTGTTATTGGTTTTGTGAAATCTAATTATAGAACATACCACCAGCGTGGGGTGTCTGCCCTGTTTTCTGACAGTGTGTCCTAAGATAGACTGTCACAATTGTGAGCCACTCCAGACAGCATGACACAGGCTAAGTTCAGCTTTCCACACTACGTACACAACCCCATTAGCCTTTCATTTCAGAGGTGATTATGCATGACAGCACAAGGAACTTCCCGCTCTCCCCCAGCGTTGTTTGCCACCTCGCAGAGCTCAGATTGAGTTTATGGGGCTGATTAGAATACTTTATACATGAAAAATTAACTAATTGATTTTGAATAAAATTACGTGGCACTCCACAGAGCTAATTTTTAGAATCCCTTTTCAGAGCAGACTTGTACTGCAAGGGTGAAATCACATTTTTGTTTCAGTCTTATCTGACAGTCTTCATTAAATGCAAAAAAAAAAAAACCTCTAAAATTTAAATCAGAGGAACTTCTGAAAAACTAACTAGGCAATTATCTGGCCCCACTCACTATAGTGTCAGAGTGTTTGAACATCTCCAGGTGAACATGGATTACAATACCCTTATCTTGCTAGTTAACCATGCTCTTTTGCAGAAGTGCTTTGCTGAATTTACTCTCTCCTAAAAGCACAAAAACATTCAACAAGTAATCCTCTACACTTGTCCTTATTCACAGTATCATCATTTTGACCCAAATCCAGGACAGCAATGCTGAAAAGGAACAACAGCTGCCTTTCTTCTATTCACTTTTGACCTCAAATATATACAAATTTAAAATTTAGCATAGCCAATTACATTAAATGTAACTCTGCTGATCTTTTAAAGATTTCCTCTTGTCCCTATATCCATTCCAACGGATAAGAAATTGAAAATCTTTACCAAGATTAGCCTGATGATAGCAACTGCTAATCCGGTGATAGCCAAATTCCATCAGAACTGGGGTATTCTCAATTTTGGGTTTCGCTTTTTACAGAATGTATGAGTAGATACCTTTATAAATTAGGAAAAAAGTGAAGTGTAATGTGCCAATAAGGCCTTAAGTTAAATTACTGTAATGCACACGAATTTACAATTGTTTTCCTGAAACTAGAAAGCATTTTTTTAGTCACACTTACCTTATTGTGTGTAAAGGGGGAAGCTGTATATAAGGTAGGGTGGATAAGTGGACGAGGCAGATGAGGAATAGTATGCAATGGTACATGTCCATGTATATGGGGGTAAAGGTGAAGTGCAGGATGTGCAGGTTTTTCTGGGTTCACAAACTGATGGCCAGCAGGAAGACGTCCGGCTGCGAGCGCTGAAGCAGTCAGACCTGAAGCTTCCTGTTTGCAAACATGGCATTCACAAGTATTTGGACCTTGGTCAGCCTGTAAGGAATGAAAAGTTACTCTCCTCATTTTGTCAGACAAGGAATTCAGGTAGTTTTATTTCTTTTAAATGTCACAAAACAGCAAGTCTAAATATTGTTTAGTCTTGTATAATAAAGGAGAATGGGTAAGGAGCAATTTACACATTTATACAGGTTTAAAACCAAAGTTCAATATTCATCAGGGTTCACAGGTCCAGAGCAAAGGCAATGTAGCAAAGGCAATGTAGAGCTACTCAAAGCATTTTTATGGTGGTTCCTATGGTCAGGACTACAAAGGCATGAGGCACGGTTTGGTTCTTGCTTGGAAGGAGTTAATGAAGGCAACTGATTTTGTTCCACAATCAAACTATTGAAAAGCTTGATTATCTGTGTGGAAATGATCCAGTCAGAATATGGCATTATGAATGCAAGCAAGCAGATTTATAATAGATTATAATGGTTGTTTTCCTCAATAGTACATACAGGTTCCTTTGGATTTGTAGCAACTGTCTTTTAAAAAAAATTAGCTCACACATAACTGACTTTAATTTTTTTTATTTACTCATTGAAATAAAAACCATTACATGCTGAGCAGAGAGCCAAGTATGATATTTGGGAATTTTTAGTAAACAAATTAGCAATCCAATAAAATACTGAGTCACAACAGATCTTCATGCAAGACATCCATATAAAGAAAGTATGAAGCACTAACCTAGACTCCCTACATTTGCAAATCAGTTTTAGATACATTATTGAAATATCCATTAATTGCTTCAACCAGTGGGGAAAAATCATTTTCCGTCACTTAACTAAAACGTTTTCACCATTACAGCTCAGAACAGTAAGTTCATCCTAGATTTCTGTTATATATTCAACAGTTTAAGTTCATACTGACTGAAGTACTATTTCAACCAGGAAGCAGGCTTTTTAAGACAGCAGCAGCAGAGTACAACTCCTTACAAAAGGTCTCAGATTTAGGTTCCAGGAAGGCCAGCCATCACTAGATTTCTAACTGTTATATATTCAGTTGTGAAAATAATTAAAGTCTCATAATGACAGCTACACAGATAAAAAGACTCCCTATATCTGCAACTTACCTTCTAATTAAACTATTTTCACTGCAAATAATCTCAAATAGTCAAGATTTCAAAGGTAACTTACAACGGGTACAAGATTTCAGTGAGCTATACCTGCTGACTGGGGTAAGATGGGGGTGGACTATCCATTTTTGCCTCATCTTTCCTTAATGTTCTTTTTCCTAGAGTTATTTCGTCCTTCTGAGTCCCTGGTGGTTCACCACTGCTTTCCCCATCTGCTTCTTCATCATCTGCTTCTGAAGAACTGCTGCTAGTACTGCTCACCTGAGGAGACTGAAAATCCGTAATTTAAAAAGAAAAAGAAAAAAAAAAAAAAGATAAACCAGTCTCCAATGATTGTTTCACTTGACAGATTACATACATTTTGTGACTTTAAAGTACTATACCTCATCTTTCAATGCCATGTTTTCCCCTCCACCATTTAATTCACTATGGATTCCATTCATGTTGGCTACGACCTCTGCATCATCATAGTTATTCAATGGGTAGATATCAGCAAATTTTGCTGATAATGGTGCAACATCTTCATCATCACTACCACTGGGGAAAGAGAGGCTTACATAAATGATGATGATCAGTAACCTAAGCCACTGTGAAAGAAATTACTAAACATTGGAATGAAATAAAATTTAGATACATAATTTGTATTTCAATTTAAATTGATCTGCTTCAAAATAATTAAAGACAGCTGTTTTTTAAAATCACAAGACTTACTAACTACCTACCATCTAGCCTGTTTAAGGTAATAGCTTAACTCCTCAGCAGAAAGCCTGGGCTAAAAAGATTTTCTAGTATTTTTATAGGCAATTTTCCCCTAATACTATGCCATCAAGAAATCCAATAACTCCCCCATGCCAAAACACAATGAAGGGTAAATCCAGCCTTTCCTTTGATGAGACAAAAGCCTTATTTCAAATGAGTTTCTTGGTAGAAAATGTGTAACGTGTAAAAATTACAAATATTTCAAGCACTGACAATGTTAAGTCAGCATTCCCCACACGAATTACTAAGTATACCAATCTCATTTTTTGATTAATGATCGTTCATTTTAAAATTTTCCCCTACCACCACATTCTTGGATACCACTATGTTAAAAAAAGCATTCATCCTTCAGGCCTTCTCATAGTGCTATTCATACAATTCCTGAATAGAGGACTAGAAATTTTTCCTGCCATATCTAAACAAAAAGTATGCAAGCTTAGTTACCTACCTCACGAGGGTGTTGCAAAAGTTTAATTTGGTAATTTCTGTACAGTACTCAAACATATATAAGAGCTCTTCAAGTGTATTATTATGTCCTTTTGCATTCTAGTAAGACTTTTTGCTGAGATTTAATTACAGTACAGTACCATTATCCATACGTCACATGTGCCACAGGGATAGAAATACCTAAGAGATTATTTAGGCCCTAATTTGAGAAACAGAATGATTCTCCCCTGAAGGAAGAGTGAACTAGTGTCTGTCTGTAGATAACACTGCCTTCAGTAAGTGATGTTTAAATTAGCATCTCATGAGACAGTTAATATTATTGATCTTCATTCCTGGAGAACTGAAGTTAGCTTAAGAACTTCTGAGATAATATAGCAAAATATTGGCAAAAGCAGATCTGTAATATTACAAAAGCCCTCCCTCATCTTTGAAAATTTTACAAAGATGAAGAACTAGAGGGTATAGATAATTTAAATACAGGATAAGAAAACCTACTGAAATTTTTCAACACCACAGTGCACCATTGTAGAACTACCCAAACAGCTGTCTTGGTCTATTTAGGCATTAACTAGTATCAACACAGCAAACAGAGACAGATATAGATGCTAGTTTTAAGTAGACAGGAAAATTGAAATACTTGCACAAGGCTAGTTGTTTTGTACACATGCTGATTTAATGTGTGTCAAAATAAACAAAAAAGCTGAATGGACTTCTGGCACTTTAACTGCTTCAAACAGAAAAATAATTACGGTGATCAGAAACATTGAGTATAATGCAATTGTGCCACTGCATAATTTGCCACATAAATGCCCTTTTATATTCCAGAATCTATGCTTTCATTAGAAAGCAGTAAGTCTTTAGCTGTAATAAATGCAAAGATAAATTTTGAAATGAGACCCAGGTATAAATCAATGAAGTGATATTAGCCTGAAACAATAATTAACAAATCTGTGCTATCCCCATTCATTTCAATAAAATGTTAACATTGAATCTTAATGACAACTCCCTAAAATACCTATGTTGGCTATTTCACTACTGATCACTATAGCAGAATCAACTTAATGTTCTTCACTGTTGTTGATGTGTCATGTACTGTAACAGGGTGTAGTAGTTAGTTGCTATCAAGGCTTGATGGGTGGGGAATAAAAAATTCAATCCACTCCCACAACTTTAAAATAATTTCTACCCCTTTCTGGTTTGGGGAAGGGTCAGGCAGCAATGGCAAATGCCTCAGTTTCTAAATTCACTATGATTTTTAGAGGAGATGAGAACTTTTTTCACTGCACAAGAATCTTCGCTATAAGTCTTAAATTAATGTCAACTCAAAAGTCTTGACAGAAGAGTTCAGAAGTCAGTTACCTGTAATCAGGTGACTAACCTTTCAAAAAGTCACCTGTTCTCACACTAAAAATCATTAAGCAGTTCTTATATTCAGGTTTATCGTTGCTCTTTGTAAGGCAAACCACAAAAATACCAGTTATGATTGTCTGAGGAGTGTCTGGTTAGTACATGACAGATAAGGTTGTATTCCTTAGGCATGTGGTGCACGTGTAACAATATTTCATTCACAGAGGATTAAAGCCAATTTTAAAAGAAAATTTAAAAAAGCAGATTTTTCAAGTTTAAAATCAGATTTTTATTTAAACTAAATTAAAAATAAACCTATTTAAAGATAAATTGGAATTTATGACAACTTATGTTAAGGCCTTATTCTAATCTATTAAAATGATTTAGATTAAGTGAAACCCTGTTATAGTCTTGGCCTTCACAACATCCTCTGGCAAGGATGTTCCACAGGTTGACTGTGTGCTATGTGAAAAAATACTTCCTTTTGTCAATCATATCCCCCCTTAGTCGTCTTTTTTCCAAGCTGAAAAGTCCTAGTCTTATTAATCTCTCCATAGCAGTTCCATACCCCTAATAATTTTTGTTGCCCTTTTCTGAACCTTTTCCAAAACCAATATATCTTTTTTGAATTGGGGTGACCACTTCTGCACACAGTATTCAACATGTGGGTGTACCATGGATTTATATAGAAGCCATATGATATTTTCTGTCTTATTATCTATCCCTTTCCTAATGATTCCCAACATTCTGTTCGCTTTTTTGACTGCCGCTCCATATTGAGTGGATGTTTTCAGAGAACTATCCACAATGACTCCAAGATCTCTTTCTTGAGTGGTCCCAGCTAATTTAGACCCCATCATTTTATATGTATAGTTTGGACTATGCTTTCCAATGTGCATTACTTTGCATTTATCAACATTACATTTCATCTGCCATTTTGTTGCCCAGTCACCCAGTTTTGAGAGATCCTTTTGTAGCTCTTCACAGTCTGCCTAGGACTTAACTATCTTGAGTAGTTTTGTATCATCTGCAAATTTGGCCACCTCACTGTTCAGCCCTTTTTCCAGATCATTTATGAATAAGTTGAATAGGACTGGACCCAGTACAGACCCCTGGGGTACACCACTATTTACCTCTCTCCATTTTGAAAACGGACTATTTTTTCCTACCCTTTGTTTCCTATCTTTTAACCAGTTACCAATCCATGAGAGAACCTTCCCTCTTAACCCATGACTGCTTACTTTGCTTCAGAGCCTTTGGTGAGGGACCTTGTCAAAGGCTTTCTGAAAATCTAAATACACTATATCCACTGGATCCCCCTTGTCCACATGCTTGATGACCCCCTCAAAGAATTCTAGTAGATTGGTGAGGTACGATTTCCCCTTTACAAAAACCATGTTGACTATTCCCCAACAAAATTATGTTAATTTAGGTGTCTGACAATATTGTTCTTTACTATAATTTCAACCAGTTTACCCGGTACTGAAGTCAGGAGTACCGGCCTGTAATTGCCGGGGTCACCTCTGGAACCTTTTTTAAAAATTGGCATCACATTAGCTATCCTCCAGTCATTTGGTACAGAAGCTGATTTAAATGACAGGTTACAGACTACAGTTAGTAGTCCTGAAATTTCACATTTGAGTTCCATCTGGTCCTGGTGACTTATTACTGTTTAGTTTATCAATTTGTTCCAAAACCTCCTCTAGTGACATCTCAATCTGGGACAGTTCCTCAGATTTGTCACCTAAAAAGACCAGCTCAGGTTTGGGAATCTCCCTCATATCCTCATATATAATTAAAAATCTCAATTAACGTAATGTGTATAAACATAGCATATCCTCTTGGTATGCAAAAGCAGCAACAAATATAGCATAAAAGCAAACAAATGTGTTTTAATGGTTACCAACCACTCAAGCAAATTTTCTTTGGAAAAATACCTAAAAAAAGTACAAATGCAAAACAAATTTAAAACAATGATTAAGTCAAGATTTCCTGCTCGCTGATTTAAATAATTTAAAAATCAGTGATTTAAATCAATCCACCCTGATTTCACTTAGGGTAGATGTCTAAAGCAAGATTTCAAATAATGTGTGGAACAGACAAGTCATCTAGCTAGCAGGTCACCATCCAGAATGTTTACCCTTGCCACTGCCAGTGGCTAAATATGTAAGCAGGGTTCTGTTGTAGATGTCTTCCTGAACTCCTGAATATACAGCTGTTTGGAGGCATAAAACTAAGACATATGTTCAAGAATTACTACTTCATTGTAATGAATTCAGGCAGTTGATACCTCTCAGAGTAAGTTCCCCAATGTGGCTAAGTACTACTGCAAATATAAGTGTTAAATCTTTAAACAATGATAGTAATTTGAAGTGAAACTATCAACCTTCTGTCTTTCGTAATTCTCTCAATTTCATTATGATTCCAAATTTTACAATAAAAACAGCAACTCACAAAGTTGGTGCAGAGCCATTATCTGTAAGGATGAGTCTTGGGTGCTGCTGAATTGAGATAGGAGAGCTGGAACCTGATTCGGAGCTTGCTGAAGACATACTAGGTGGGCGGATCTCAGACAGATAATCCGGAGCAGAATCAATTTGTAGTGGTAACTGGTTAATATGGATGTCATCTGTTATTGGTGAATCCATGATGCCACATGTTAAAATGTGTGAAAGGCTGCAGTCATCACAAGTGCATCTGCTCAAGAATTAAGATAGTAATAAAACTTATCAGTGTCACAGATTTTTAAAAGGTATTGTTTGAAGTTGCATTCAATTTTATTAAATGCACTGTGCCAGTTACAATATTTGATATCCTCTTTTCTCTAACCCAAGAGATTAATGTTTTATTATGAACTCATATTAAAAACATCAGCTCACCTTCTTCTATAATTACAGTTGGGACAGTCAGGCATGCTCAAACGTGATGACAACATATGCCTCATTGTGTCTGTGAAGTTGTTCTCACCAGCTAGTGCTTTCTTGTTATTTAACTAAAGTAAATTGTAAGGCAGTGTTTTAGTATTGCAAGTAAACGTTCACTAAAATTTTAACCGGTTTATAGCATAACTAATGGCAAAAAATATCCTTTCCTTTTGTAATGCCCAACTTAAAAAAAGACAATTATAATGCAAGTAATAACTTGATAAAAGTATCCTTTTGATCATCTATCACAATACCCAAAGTCAAAAACATTTATACCTATAAAAGTTTAAAGTTAGAAGCAGTAAACATATGGCATTCAAAAATGTTAGCTCAAAAAAAAAATTTTTTTTATTTCCATATTAAAGAAATCACATGGCGAAGTCAATCTCTCTGACCCAGTTATAACTGGAGTTTTGTATATTATTTTTATTAGATCACGACACAGAGTTCTTTCACTTCAACAGTTACATTCCTTCTATGGATATACACAAAGGGACTAACATGTAGTAACAAACTCAATTACCCTTAAAGTTTAGAAAAAACGTGGGGGCCCAATTCTGTAGCTAATCTGTGCTTAACTCCCATTTATCCAAGTGAGCTCTAGGCATAGGGTTGAAGAATTAGAGCACATATGGTTAGTGCAATATACAGATTACTCTCTCAGCTGCAAGTGTCTGTCTCTCATAGTATACAGAAAATATTCAAATTACTAAAACACCATAATCCTACCTGCTCTTCAATAAAACGCCTCTGTTTAAAAAATTCCCAGTCTTCTTTTAGCATGCGCTGTTTTGTTTTCATTGCCATCTAAAACAGGATATAAGGAGATGCATTGGTTTAAACATGAAAATACTACACTGTATTTGTTAGGTCACCATCAAATTTTATTTTATTTATCTTGTCCATGTTTATTTCAGAAAACTCACAAGAATCTTGTGTAATTAAAAAGTAAGTTATTAAAGTTATATTAGAGATAGAATTTATTTTATCCAAGTGCTCTTCTTACTTCATTACTAAAGCCACTGTATTTTAACTCTAAGCAAATATAAAATAATTTTGGCAATCTTCCCCCTCTTGCACTCTCCACACTCCAGTTAAGTCTTTACACTGACATTAAGTTCCATTTTATACTATATACAAAATTTTGATAACATTTAAACTGTTCTGCATCAGATACCCAACATCTCATCTCCTGATCCAGGTGTGAAGCTCTAGCAATGCAGGACTTCTGGCAAGTCCCAGATATACGCTCAAGATCAAGAGCAAATCTTGTGGTGTTCCACAGACCTAGAGCTCATCATTCAATCATAGAAGAATATTTGTTACTGAAGTGGGACTTTTCTTTTTTGTAAGATTATATAAAAAGAAAAGCTCAAGTTTAAAATTATAGCCATTCACATGTAATGATCTAGACTATCAGTGTTTAAGGTTGAGCTTAAAATGTACTTCTTGCCTATGGTTTAACTAACTCAGCAAGATACTTTTTATTAATTATAGAGCACCTTGGGGCACATTACTGGAAAAGCACTATTAAAATCAGATTACATTTTGTCTTTGAAGAGTACACTTTTTAGAGTTAACAAACAATACTACAAACATAAAGCAAACAAAAGAAAAATCCATAAATGTTTGAGACACAGGTGGGTGAGATAATATCTTTTACCGGACCACCTTCTGTTGGTGAGAGAGCGCCCAGACCTGAAGAAGAGCTTTCTGTAAACTTGAAAGCTTATCTCCTGGCAACAGAAGTTATCTTTTATTTGACTAATGCCTCACCCACCTTGTCTCTAGTATCCTGGGACCAACATGCATACAATACTACATACAGTAAATTTTTGAACAGTGAAGTACAAAAACAGAGTTTCTCCATCTGTTTCCCAAATCAATTTGAAATAACTGTTTCAGTAGGTAAGGGAAAGCACCTATCCAGGTTTCTTTCAACACTTACACTTACATTTAGCATGTAAAGTTTCCTACCTTACATGGGTGCTGTATGGATCAACCATTCCCATTTGTACAGTGCTTTGCAACCTCAACACTATAGTGGATGCATTTAATCTCTACTAGTTTGAGAAGTCATTTCACTTCTACTGTAGTCACTGTTTTGGGCAAGACTGTGAGATGCCCTCGCTTAGGCACAAAGGAGTGGATGAACAAGCAAGAAGCCTCCCCTACACACCTGTGCATCTCGACAATAATTGCTGTATTTTTCCTCTCCATGGGAACAAGCTAGTGAAGAGGGGTGGGAAGGGAGTGGGGTCATTATTCTGTCCCCTTCACTTTGCACTGTCCCCTTCTGTAGAGCCCGGCTGGCATACAAGATTGAGCAGATTACCAGGACCTCATATGCAAGCAGCAGTCCTGTGATTGTGCCTCAGACAGGCATAATTTCTCCAGTGTTCTTCCTGGCATGGTTAGATTCCACACTCCTCTCTATACAAGGACTGAGTTCTTAAAGACAAAATCTAGGCCTTTAAATACAGGGATTCTCACAAATTAATATGATCTTTCAAATGGATAAAGATTGCGAAGTATGACAAATGCACTAGTACTACCAGACATCCTCATATTCATGTTCTTAAAGCAATGGCATAAAGGCTATTTCAGATTCATTAGCCTTTGAATACTTCAGTATGCAAATTAATCATACCATAATAGCCTGAAACTGCTTTTGGTGTTTCTGTGAGAATTTAATCATTAAAGAAAAAGAAGCTCTGCTTCCAGAATAATGTTACTTCATTAAATAAATGAGGATCACAAGCTGTAACTCCTTTTTAGGACTTTTAAATGTTCTTTATACCAGCTGCTGATAGCATAACAGATTAACTTTAGAAGTCATCAGGATCATCTTAAAATCTGTTTGTGAGAAGAAACCTGGACATATTTGAGATGGTCTATGTTAGTCTTTTCCTGAGGAGTAACTGCTCTGACAGGCCCACCTTTCCAGGGCTACACTTTAATTCAGAAGGTGATGGATATTTTTTCTGTAGCGATGCCTAGGGTGTCAGGAACTTGTTCTCTTGGGCATCTGCCCGCGCCACTTTTTTTTTTTATTATTATTTTATTTTTTTAAAGTGTCTCTTACTTTAATCACTGCTTCCCCTACATTCTTTTATTTACATGACATCTGTTTGTTTTTTTTAACTACACTGATTTTATATTATCTAACTTGTGACTCTTTACCTGTAATGTATTTTGCTTGGATAATACCTTGACTAAATCTGTCAAGAGGTTTTTATTCACAAAGATATTGGAAGATGTTGTAGAAGGACTTTGCCGAGCTTTTCTCATGCCTACAAATTCTATGACGCCTTAACAGTAGGTAGCATCTGTCGCTCCAATGTGGATTTTAGATATGCTGGTTCAGTTTAATTCCTCAACAGCAACACACATTTCTTATTTTTCCTAGTGCTATTTTAAAATGTTGTATACATGCTACCAGGCGACTTGTTCTAACCTGTAACTCTACTTCTGACCATTTTCACCAACATATCCGAGATGAAAAGGGTGCAAAGTCTAGTTGCAGCATAGCAAAATTGATATTCGTAAAATTCTTGGATTTTTTGTTTTGTTGCTTGCTTTGTGTATCTTCTTCAACAGAAGCATTGTCCTTATTGACACAATTTCTTCTGCCTTGCCTTCCAGATTTGTGGAGACCATCTCAGTGATCCTTCTCCCCTCAGATATTCCTTACATATGGACTCTGAACACCCCATATATTTAGAAACTATAAAAGCATAGCATAGCTTCTGCCCAATCACAGCTTTTTATTTATTTAATTTTAAAGAGAGAGCTCATTTTACCATAAGAAAGTACTTGTTTTCACTTACTGGAGTTCGCTTCTGGTTCTTGCTCCATTCATACAGCTAAATAATTGGTGGCAATTCAACAGTTTCCTTGTCTCAGCCTCTTGTGTTAGCAAAGGGTCCTTCTCTCTGACTGTGATGCCAGTGTACTGATCTCTTCATGGAGGGAGGTCCACTTCACCTCTTTTAACCATTCACTCATGCTCCCAATGGCAGGACCATTTGAAGCAAGCAATGGCTTGTTTATAAATCGCTCTTTTAAAGAAAAAAATCCACTCTTTCCTAGGAGGCTCACCTACTGGTAGTCCTTCTCCCCCCCCCCCCCCAAAAAAAAACAGGAGTCCAAAATGCTTCCCGTTTCCAATTACACAATCTAGTGGATAGCTCCCAAAACTGCACTGTATCTCTGTAGCATTTTCTCATGTGTCTAATTGCAGGAGACTGGTTGAAGTCTGCACTCAGACACATGCTGAACACTTTATATCAGATGATGTCTACTATAACATGTGCTTATTTCCTGCTTATAAACTGATCGTGCAAAGACCTACACCTCTCAAGCCCCAGGAAGACTAGGGATTGTAGAAGAGACACTGTCATTTACACATGCAAAAATGGGTTCCACTGTCCCCCCTCAAGAGCTTCTCTTCTGATGCCTATAATTATACTTTATAAAACAAAGATGCAATACAGCCTTTAACCATTTGTATTCATTGTTAGTACATGAATATTACAAGGGAATTCAAATAAGGTAAAATCAGATAGGCAACTACTGTGAAGAAAGTTACTTCTGTCTGGTTCTTATAAACACTAGCAAATCTTCATTATTTGCTGTGTCTACTTTTCTTTAACAAAATGGTGATTTTTCACGTTTAGTATACCTAGGATGCAAGCTATACTGGTGGCAGAGTTTGGCAACAAGAATTTTCTTCAGATGCTTTGAAACTATCCTCAAAATTTTATGCAAGACATTAACAAAGACACTGCTAACAGACTTTCTTGCAACATCCCACAGTGGACTGTAGTGGTTGTTAACTAAGCAGAAATGAGTAACTTTACTGACAATGTACATAAAACATGGGGATTAAGTTTTTAAATTAACAAAACTCATCTTATAAAGACAATTTTTTCTTATACAAAAGTAGTAATTAAAATACACCGATGTATCATGTGTATGCTACAGGAATTCAGACTAAGTAATAGTTCATTTTTATATCAGCACCTGTATTCCATAGTTATTATAGTACCTTGACTAAAGGTCAGGATTTTTGGAGTACATGTATGCAGTATATAACTTTGTATGTTTTACATTTACTGCAAGGCAGGCAATAGCTTACATGGTCCTTACCTGTTCATCTACATAATCATCTATTTTTTTCTGGCATTCAAGCCAGGCTTCAGCCACTTGACCCATCTCCTGTTCCAATTGATGATACCTTTGTAGCAAGGTACTATACATATCTTCACTACAGGAATCGTGTGTTGTTCCAAGCCTAAAAGTTTAAATTGCAATTATTAGAGTATGAAATAGAGGCAGAGGCATGCACCTAATAATCAAAATGATTCACTGGTGTCCACTAACCTTTCCGATATACACCACCACTTAGAATCATAGAAAATTATGGTTGGAAGAGACCTCAGGAGGTCATCTAGTCCAACCCCCTGCTCAAAGCAGGCCCAACCCCAACTAAATCTTAAAATAGTTTTAGGATTAAAAAAAAAGGCTTTAGGTCATTAATGTAACTACAGTAACTGACACAGAAGCGATTTGGCCACTAGTTCCCCAAAACATGTTTATCTGTATTTTTAACATAAAGGTCTGACAACAGTTCACTCTTGATGTTCTGTATCCAGTGTAAGCAATAGTAGTGAGTACATAAGAAGCGTAACATTTCCATAGCAAACCTGGGGTCATCGCAACGGAGACATTTATTCACCCAGCTTTATTGCTTGATATACTTATCTTCCTGAACCACATGTGCGTTAAGTACAGATGACCATCTACCAAAGAGCTGGATAGCAAAGACATACCCAGGTCTGGTGAAGCGTTAATCAGCACAATGATTAAGGATGACACTAATTATTTAATAGCTAGGGCTGTTGGGCCTCCACTTGGGGAAACAGACATGAAATCAAGCTATTACATAACTTGGTTACACACAGTAACTCATACTCCTGGGGGAATTTTGTGCCACTGCGCATGCCCAGAATTCATGTCCCTGCAGACTTTTTTGCTTCCCCAGCAAAATGACTTTGATTGGGAAGCAAAGGGAAGCCACAAGAACGGTCATGCTGTCGCTCCCCAACAGCACACATGTTTCAGGCTCCCGGAGCAGCCAGCGGAGAGCTAAATCGCTTGGGGGGGGTGGGAGGGCGCAGGGCTGGGGATGCCTCAGCCAGTGGCTCCTACCTTGCTTATCCCAGCTGGGCTGGGGAGGATGGGACTTCCTTTTCCTTTACAAGGAGTGGCCAGGGCTGTGTCAGACTCACCCCCAGAAACCTCTCCGGCTACAGGAAGCTCTGCACCACCTCCCACCCCCTTCCTGCCCCCATTGCTCCTCAGCCATAGGGAAGGGGTTCACTCTACAGGTAGCTGCTTCCCCTGTCCACCCAACCCCTGTGCATCCAGACCCGCCTCAAAACCAGATCACCCCGCCAAGCCTCACCCCCTACACCCAGAACCCCCCCACCAAGCCCCTGAACCCACGCCCTGACAAGCCTCACCCTCTGGAATGGGTTACCTAGGGAGATGGTGGAATCTCCTTCCTGGGAGGATTTTAAGGACAGGCTTGACAAAGCCCTAGCTGGGATGATTTAGTTGGGAATTGGTCCTGCTTTGAGCAGGGGGTTAGACTAGATGACCTCCTGAAGTCCCTTCCAACCCTGATATTCTATGATTCTGCATCCGGACCCCACCCCTGCACCCAGACCACCCCCTGCACTCGATCCTCCCACACCCGGAACACCCTGACAAGCCTCCCACACCCAGATCCCCATCCCACTGAGCCCCACCAAGCCAGCACCTGGACCCTCCCTCTAGCTGAGCCCTCCACACTCAGACCCCCCTGCAGAGCCCCAACTACCTTCACCTGAACCCCCCCCTGCAGAGTCACATGGTCTCTGAACCCAGAATCCCCTCCCCCCATGAGCCCCTGTTCATCCAGATCCCACCACGCCTGGACTCCCCACCAAGCTGGCCACACCCAGACTGCCTCACACAGAACCCTATCACCTCACATCTGCATCTCTCCACATTCAGTCCCTCCACACTTGGCTCCAGCTGGGCTGAACCGGCCTGCCTACATCTAGTGTGCTTGGCATAGAGGGGCAAGGCCCCGGGTGTTTCTGGAGCTGGCCTGGCCCTTGCGCTGTGTCAGGGTCAGATGCATCTTCACTGCTGAGTCCATGTCCCGGGGGGACGGGGAGGATGAAGGCCTGCAGGGTGATCACCCACCTCTGTGCAGTAATTGGCCTGTGCTTTCCACTGTGCCATGCTGGAGCCTCTGCATTTATTTATTACAAATAAAATTTGCAGAATTTTAAAATAGTGTGCAGAATTTTTGTGGGTTTTTTTTGGCACAGAATTCCCTCAGGAGTAAACTCACTTTCTACCCATTAGAGGCTGCATTTGTTCTAAGATTGGTAGGTTAAAAGACACTTCTCCCTCAGAGGGGAAGTTTCAGGAATGGATGACAGAGGCTTTCCTGCTCCCCTACTACTGTGGAATCAGCAGTTTTATTCCTGCTTATTCCTTTGAGGTCTGCCATACATCATCATTGCAAGCATCCTCAAACTACCAAGTCAGCATCCTGAACCTCAGAATCAAGTAAGGTAGAGATTATAGTATGTTACACACTTCTAACGTGCATTACAAAGGTCTTTGAGTTCCTCCAAATATAAACCAAGACTCATGGCAGCCATGCCACTCAGTCAGGTTTTACCAATCAGTGAACTAAGGCAAAGAGGTTAAGTGACTTGCCCAGGGCTTCTCAAAAAGTTAGTGTCAGAACCAGGCATCTCGACTCCTAGGATGAAATCCTGGTCACAGTGAGGGTCACAGGGTTTTGCCATTTACTTTAATGGGGCCAGGACTTCATACCTAGTTCTCTGTTCTACCTGCTATGTAATACTGCCTACCACCATCTGGCAACAATTGTAAGAAATTTCTCAGTGCTACATAGAGAATCTAAAATAACTAAGAACAAAGTGAATGGCAGCCAACTATTGTCCAGTATTAAACCAAAGCCACTAACTTCATTTCACCCAAGATCTCGAGTTGTTTATTTTTTATAGAAACCTCAGCTATAGTCTTTTTAGGAGATAATTTCTACATACCAAAAATCATGAAGACGTAAAAATGCATCAAGAATATAGATTAACTATATGGAATGTTCAATGGTGCTTAAAATTCTACCAGTAATCAGTTTGCCAATTCTCATGATTTTATCATGATACTCATGAAATTTATTTATTTCTTAATGCCCTGGCTCCTGAAGTAATGGTAATTCTACAGAATCTCACCCCCCTATATAAAATAGCAAGTTTCTAGCCTTCGTGATTGTAGAGAAGAACATGAAAATTTGACCCCAATGAACCCTACACTAGTTCAAAAACCAAAAGGCAAATAGAACTCCCAAAACGTATTTTTTCGAAATTTTCATTTCTGAAGGCCAACTCATGATTTAATATTTTCCATTGGCAATTCTGCAGTATTTATACCTGTATAAAATCAGGAGTTATAATACAATACTTAGCATTTACACACTTAAAACATTTATTTGTTTAAGACAAACGTAGGGCAATAGTTACTAAAAAGAGAGAGTTTAATCTTTCAATTGTATGGGATCCAAGACAGACAGTTCCTAGCATATTTGGGCAAAACACATGATTTTACAAATCTATCAGAACTATTACTCAAACATGCTACTGCATTTCCTAGAGTACACCACCAATTTCACATACGAACAACAGGTGCATAGACTAAGAAAGTAACTCATTTTTAAAGGCCTCTATGAAAGCAAAACTCAGAGGAGCAGCAACGTTTTAGAAACCTGCGTTTAATAGGGTTTTGTCCATTTGATTGCTTTTGTTTAATATTAATATGTTATGACCATTAATTTATGTTTTTTGGTGTGTCTGTTTAGGATAGTGGCAAATGCTTAGTAATTGTTCTAGTAGGCCACTGCTAAAGATATCATCATCTGAGGGTTGCTTATGAGAACCTAATTCTGCTAACACTTACCACCAGGGATATACTGTGAAGTCACTCATGGATCCAATCATGGTAATATGTACCATTCTCAGGGGTGAACCTTTGCAGGATTGAGCTCTACATTTGTAAGGTTTGTGTTTTTCAGTGCACCTACAGTAGTAGACCAGCTAAAGATTCTAAATAAACATGCAGTAATGAAAAGAAAAACCCAATTTACATGCAAGTGCACCAACTGAACAGATGTTTTCATCACGCCTCATCTTAAAGTAGTTTGTGAGGAATGTGAAGAGATATTTCAGTGGTTTGCTTAGTGAAAAAAAAATAATCACAGAATCTAATTCTTTTTAAAAAAGAAGTTACAGTTTTACCATTAGTCTTATCAAAAGTATCTATTTTGTTACAGATACTGTGTAAACTATTATTCTCTTTACTTAATGTGTGTGTAGATAGATATATTGAAAGACACTTTACCTTAGCTGTGACACCAGTGTTGGCAAGCTGTTCTGCAGAAGTGGCTCAGAAAATACCAGATTTTCAAATAGATGCTTATTGTGCAATTCCCAAGTCACCTGAAATTTCTTCAAGTGTTCATTTTCCTATTAAAAATATTTAAATTTTCTATAAATCTAACATATTTCTAAAGAACTCTTCAGATGCCAGAAAGAAAATTTCTTTAGCTAGTAACCTTTTAAACCCACCAGCCCAGATGATGGGTTATTCAGCTTAGACCTTAGCCAGTTTTAACATTAACAAATATATTATTTTGCCACTGATCTATGAATCAGGACCGTCACTGACTTCTAAAAGTCACTCTAGCTTTTTTTCCCGTCATCTTTCTGATGAGTCAGGGGATAGGAAAGGGGGGGGGGAAATCAGAAGAAGGTACTATCTTGTTGAAAGGCCTTCCACAAATTCACAGTTCAATTTCTATCTCAATAGACAAAGTATATCATGTTAGCCAGACCTTTCCAGGGGTTTTGATTTGCTATCCCTGATCAATGTTAGGTTCTTCTTTACCATGTCTAGCAGGAGATACCTCTCTCCTAGTAAGTTCTGCTTTTCCCACAAGGTTTAAGTAAAACACTGAAAAAGTTGTCCTTTCCAAGTATGGTTACTCAGAAATGTTCTTCCTGAAGCAAGCAATAATCTACTTACTCATCTGTCTAGCATACTAAATGTGCATCTTGGTTTCTGGACTATCAACCATCTACCCATTTCCAACCTTGAGGTACTTCTAAACAGAAGAGTTAACATCTATGGGTATAGTAATTCAGTTTTGACATCTGAACAATAGACCCTCTACGAGATCCCCTAACCATCAATTCATCAAGTGTTTCATTTATGGAACAAACACAAGTGTCTGTCTTCTGTCACCAGACCCCACACTCAGCAAAATTAAATGAAGGCATTCTGGCTGTCACACCAGCAAGTAAATCTCCTGCACTATGGCTTTGAGTAATCAGTAATACAAGCGTCGCATAGAACAGAGTCATCTTATTTTATAGATCTCAAACTTGACAGGAGTTATGTATTCCAAGTCAGACCCCAGTATCAAGCACTCCTAGTCCGGCTAGCACTGCTCAAAGAAAACAATGGAAAACACTCATCTGTACATAATTATAGCCTCTCCACTCCTGAGGTGTGCAATGAAGCAATGTACTCCCTTGCTTTGGATGATAAATGGTTTAAAAGATTTTAGTTCCTACACATTACTAATAAAACTTAAATTTTAGCCTGATTATCCTGAAAACAAGTGAGCCTTCTGGTAGGTTCCATAGGTCTGAGGAGAACAAAACTGACAAAACTTCTTTAGAAGGCTTACATCCCTAGTTCAGTTGATCAGGTTCTGTACTGCCTACAGAAAGTATCAGGCAAGTTTTTCTTTTAGACCTCTAAATTGGGGATTGAGGGACTTTTCTGTACTGACCACAGTCTCTCCATCTTGATCTTGGTATGGTGTCTCATCCCCTGGTGGGGCAAAAAGGCTTTAATGCTTGTTCTTGAACCTCTCCAAAGAGCTGGACTCCTTTGAAAGGAAGGAAAATCAGTCATAATTTCACTAAGAAATTAAGTCCACATGGATGGAGGTTCAAGCCTCTTCCTGCCATCATACTGCAGGCTACACACAAAGGTTGGACCTTAGCCAAGTGGAAGACTGAATTACAAAGTTTACAATATGATGATCTAGCCACTCGTGTGTATTTGAGGCTAAAAGGATTTCTCTAGATCTCAAACAGTGCAGTAGAGTCTTAACAAAATGCATTCATGTGCACTGAAAAAGCTAAATGAGACCACTTCCTTATGCTTTTTCTCTGCAGTTAAATCTCAGCTTCCAAGCTTTAAATATTAGCGTGCCTAAGGAAAAAGGTCTTGTAGCAACCCAAGAAATCTATATAAAAAGCCACCACAGGAACAACATCCTGTGTTCCTACTACAGTTTATAGTTCAATTTCTGAATGCTGAAGCCTATTAGAGGAACAATGGCTGTTCTCAATACTGACTGAACTGCTGAACCAATCACACATAAGGAAGGGGTTAGTGTAAAAATACCACATCCACTCAAACTCTTTGGAGAATGAAGTATCCTTTCTGCTTCAGTAGGGCAAAAACTGGTAGGTTGGAGAGTTCAAGTCTGCATTTCCTGTCAATTTGATCTCTTACATATGTCGACTTTACTACTACTGGTCCACAGTAGAGACCAGAAAAAGGAGGAAAGGAGAGTGGCTAAACATGAAAACATCAAATTCCTGATTAGCTATATGTTCTTGACAACCAGTGTACAAAATTAGTGGATTCTTAGAAAGTAAAATAAAAACTGTCTAGTTTCAGTTGCATCAATTTAATTTTCATACTGCAATAAATCTGTTCTGCAGTCAAGTATGTTTTTAAACAGTAAAGCAACTCAGTAACTTTAAGAACCATCCTCTCAAGAGAGAAATTCTAAGACTTGACTACTACAGGAACATGCCAATGAATGGGTGGTAATGAATTATTTCTAATAAAAGTGCATCATGTCTAAGAGCAGGGAAAGAAGATGAGAAAATAGCGAGCACAGACCAGGGAGGGTAGGAAACAGTCAACTATCGTATATTTTTGTATATCTGAACACAAATTATAACAGAGGGTCCTGTGGCACCTTTAAGACTAACAGAAGTATTGGGAGCATAAGCTTTTGTGGGTAAGAACCTCACTTTTTCTGATGCAAGACTTGCATCTGAAGAAGTGAGGTTCTTACCCACGAAAGCTTATGCTCCCAATAGTTCTGTTAGTCTTAAAGGTGCCACAGGACCCTGTTGCTTTTTACAGATTCAGACTAACACGGCTACCCCCGATACAAATAAATTATGTTTTTCCTTTGAATATTTCATTCTATGCATCTCCTTTTCTCTGAGAACCTTTTCTTCTCCACTATTTTTTTAAATCACCCAAGAGGTCTGAACACCATCCCCTTCTATATTTCTTCCCTTTTGTCTACCACTTACTGCCCATTTCATTCCTTTCTATAACTCTGTCCCACACCTCTCCAGCCCATCTACAGCAAAATCAAACTCTACTCTGTCAAAATTCTCTTTGTAGTCTTCAGCATGTACATAGTATGAAAAGAAATAAGGGAGTACAGCATAACAAAAAGGCTGTAAAGACCTAAGTCCTCAAAGAAAAGTGGAAAAAAAAAACCACATTAGAAATAACTGTTTCTACTACTTATATTTTCTGTATTTCTCTTCTCTTCTCTTCTGGTAGACCTTTGCCTGCTGCTTGTTCTCTACCTGTCAACATAACCTGAAGTGTGACAACAGAATTGGTTGGTAGCAAAGGATTATATCGAAGAGAATGATGACTTTGGTTGTAATAAGTAACAGGAGCAGATTAATTCCTAAGCAAGAGAGAGTCTTCTCAAGCAAGCGTCTTTGATGATCAGGGAAGAGAAAAGAAAATATGTAGAATCAAAATATCTGAATTAATGCAGCTGAAAGGGCATTAAAGCTTTCATAATACTTTTCTTAAGACATCACTGAAGCTGACTACTACCCATCCTAGATATGGGGCGGTCTAAAATAAAATAATTCAAAAATATGGCAACTGAACAGACTCCTCCAAAGTTTTATTTTGAAACTAGTCAGTCCCATTAACCATTTGCAGTACTTGTTTAATAGCTTCCTCTTGATCATTCAGATGATGTAGAAGGTCACCCTGCCCCTCGCAAATGGACAGTTTTGACAATTTCACCCATTTATGAATGAACTGTTTTGTTAAAAATGTCCCAGACTAGATTTCAAAATGAGGACATAGAAGTTAAGTGTATTCCCCACTCTCCAGCCCAAACACAAAAGCTTTTACTCTGCAATCTGCAAAAGAATTGTGAAAGAACTCACAACACGACTTCTTACAAATTTGTATTATCTCTACAGATCAATAGCACACAGGAATTTTTTTTTGTATCTTACCAGAGTGACAAGAAAGGTGCTGATTGTACATGCTGCCTGACAGAGTGCACTGTATTCCTCAAGAAGGAGTGAGATGAACTGATGTGCCTGTGGTGGGCCTGGTATGGATAATGTTGATGCAACTTTAGATCCCAGCGACAAGTGCCTGAGCAGACGAACCTTCATTTCAAGCACGTATTCTCTAGCTTGCTGTTCCAACCGTTGATAAAGCTGATAAGGATCTCTTTCACAAAGCCTGCATTTTTGGAATAATAATTGTGACCAAAAATTCACAATCAAAATAGTGTTTAATGCTCACTGTCTCCTAAATATTCCTAGGAGCGTATTCTAGAGGAAGGATGGTCTAGGGGTTAGGGAACTAACCTAGGACTTTGAGACCTGGGTCCAATTCCCTGCTCTGCAACAGATTTCTTGTGTAACCTTGGGCAAGTCACTTAGTCTCTCTGTGCCTCAGTTTCTCAAATGGATAAAAGAGATAACAGTACTTCTCGAACTTCTGAGGATAACTACATTGTGAAGTACTCGGAAACTATGGTAACTGGGGCTATACATGTATTTAAGATAGACCAGGATGCTGCTTAGCTAGATCTGCCTAGCAGATTGAGCATGCAACTATGAGCCAGGAATTCCTGAATCCTAAATCTGGCTCTGCTCAGCTCATTGCATGGACTCTGGCAATTTAGCTACCCTCTCCTGTGTTTACAAATTGGGGAAAGATGCTTACCTACTGTACCTTCATCTCATATGTTGTAGAACATTTTGAATAGTGTGTGTTTGTACAGTGCTATAAAAACATTTATATTATTACCGGGCTCACACTACAATATACTTGGCTTATGGAAAACCTGAGATTCAAGTCTCATCTTGAGACTCCTGTCTCTCTCACTGCCAAAGGTTAAGAGCAGTCCCAAAAAGAGGGGAATATAGATAATGTAGTTCTAGGGCATCATCATCGTTTTGAACTGCGGTTTCCAACTCTTTCAGCTTGAGAACAATAATTCCACCTTAAATACTAGTTCCCCACCCCCATGCCTCAAATGTAAAATAAACTTATGGAAGTAACATTTGCGGTTACATAAGAAGTGTCACATGGTACACCCTGCAATTCCAAAATGTCCTTTGCTAAAAAGAAACTTAATTTATATAAACACACATATAATGCATATTTAATCAAAGAAAAAAAAATTGTGAGTCACAACTATACCACCATTAACGTTCTCTAGTTTAAAATCTGAAAGGTATGACAAACAAGGCATGACTAATAGTGATATTTTCTTGCAATATAATTGAACAAATGTGTTCAGACCCAGAGGATAGTCTCACACAATAGAAGCAGAAGCAGACATTGAAACAGCAATCCACTGTTTGACAGCAAGTCTGATCCAACAAAAAACGGACAGATTAAGAACAATTTTAGAGAGATAAGCAAGTGGATCACCATGGCAAGCTGTAATTAACAGAAAGAGCCGAAGTCTCTTGACCAGACAATTATAGTCAAAGATCATTTGGGCATCCTGGAGCAATCATGATTCCAGAATGAGACAGACTGCATGACATTTGAACTCTCCCAGGATGGTATTAATTGATGGTTAAGTCCTTCAAAACATTTCTCTACCCACCATCACACCTATCTTGCCAGAACTTAGGGACTGTCTTCACTACTGGGGAAAGTCAACCTAAATTACTCTCCTCCAGCTACGTATATAACATAGCTGGAGTCAACCTACCGCAGTGTCTTCACTGTGCTGCGTTGACAGGAGACGCTCTCCGGTCGACTTCGCTTACTCTTCTCAGAGAGCTGGAGTACCAGGGTTGACCAGAGAGCGCTCTGCCGTTGATTTAGCAGGTCTTCATTAGACCCGCTAAATCGACCCCTGCTGCAAGCCCTTAGTTTCAGCCAGAAGCTCTTACTCATAGTTCTACTGTCATTCAGGTACCAGGAGAGCTGACCCACTAGTATTTTAAATATTCAGTAGCCCAATATTCTATTCTAGGATTCACATTTCCAGCGAGGCTAAGAAATTCAGATAGTTACCCAATATATTGGGGCAGTTTAAAGACACTCAAATGGTTATGTTATCTTCAATAGCATGAATAGTCAGTGATGACATTAAGCTAATCTTCTCTACATCATACTAAAAAAAGATTCCCATTCCAAATATGCAACTAATTTTTAAGTGTCTACAAATCTCAATAATTTTCCTAGTCAAATAATCCACTGGTATGTACTAATTTCTTTTTTTTGAATGAAGTAATACTTTAGCTGTCATCCTGGTTATAAGAATTCACCACTCTTCATTCTAATCCAATACACTAAATAAGGACAAAGTATCATGTATGGAAATGTCAGCTGAGAGTAGTATGTCAGCTTTTAACATTAATCTTCTCATGTTCTTTTGAAGAGGTGAATTTTTAGGACATATCCATAATTTATGCATCAATAGCCCTCTTGCAGACTAGTAAATCAGAGTTTAATAATTTCATATGATACATTCAAGCCAATGTTCAATATATTTATGCAGGAGTTTTAGATAAAATTGCTCTGATTCCTCATTCCAATGACGAATTCTGAATATTTGGAAACGTAAGAGATTGATGATTTTAAAAAGTATGGCCACAGATTAAGAGGTGATAAATACACTTCTATTAATTCAGAATCACTGATTTCTTTATCTGCAGCTTCATAATAAAGACCCTTTAAACTGGAGGAACAGTACTAATCTACATAAGAAAATTCTGTAAATTTTTTTATACCTATCCACCAACTCCTTCATTCCCTCTTTATCTGGTACCAGGGATTGGTCTTGATCATCTGCCAATGGGGTGCCAGCTTGGCGATATACACATCGGACCATATATCTTACTTCTGACCAGTAATTTTGAAGCTGCTGAGATTCACGTTCAGTCTCTGCTGAAATTTCTCTGCAACAATGCCAGAAAGGTTAACATAGCATACAAACTAAGGTTATTGTACTACCACATTATTTCAAAGATGCACTTCAGTAAAAACAGAGTGCCTATCCACCAACTAAATTAGATTAGAAAACCAATTAATAGAATTACCACTGAATTACAAAAAAAATTATTTTAATAAGCAAAATGTGAGCAGATATGAATAAGTTGCAACATTACTAAGTTCGCTGCAAGTCTCACCTGCGCTCATTACAGGCCTCACAGTTACACGCTACATCAGAAGGAGAGGAATTACTGAGATCTGCAGAGGGTACTGTCTGTGCTCCAACAGTTATTCTCCCTCCTCCTACAGATTCCTGCTGTGATCCACTGTTTCCAAGAGGCATGTGCAAAAGGAAATCTTGGCTCTGTTTAAAAACAAAAACGTACCTTACAAAAACAGACAAACGTGAAACGTAGACAAGCAGGCAAATCTTTAATAACTAGAATGAACTTTACTTCACAGCTTATTTATACAGCCCTGTTCTACACTACAAACGTATGTTGGTATAACTATGTTGCTCCTGGGTGTGGATATCCAGCTCCCTGAGCAACACAGATATGCCAACTGAACTCATGGTGTAGACCAGGCCTGCACAACTTGTAAAGCGGCGAGGGCCATATTACTCTGAAAACAACTGAGGGCCGAAACCCCCCAAGCGCCGCCAACCCCCTCAGCCCCCCCGAAACACCCCCCCCAGCACCGCCCACCCCACAGAAACAACCTCCCCAGGGCCGCCGAACCCCCCCTCCCCCCCGCGCGCCATCTGCTCCACGGAATTAAACCCTCTTCCCCAGCGCCACCCCACCAAAACAGCAGTATTGAACCTCGGTAATATGTTAGAGCGGCCCCTAAGGTAGTATAATTAAGGTAAAAGAAAAATGTCTTTTTGCTAGAAGTAGAATAAGATCTTCTCCCCCACTTTGTAATCGATTGCCCTGTTGAATGAATGAGGTGTGAATGAGGAAAGTGTGGAAAGCAGGCACCTCCAGACAGCTGCAACCCTTGGAGAGGGCAGGGCCTGCTCTAGGATTTTTGCCGCCCAAGCAACAAAAATTTTGGCCGCCCTCCCCCCCCCCTTTTTTTTTTGTGCCCCTCTGCTCCCGGCCCCAACTCCTGTGGGCCCCCCGCGACCTCCTGCCCTAGCTCACCTCCGCTCTGCCTGCTCCTCCGGGCGTGCCACCGCTCCACTTCTCCCCCCTCCCTCTCAGGTGAGGGAGGGCAGAGCAGTGGCGGAGCGGAGGTGAGCTAGGGTGGGGGTCGCAGGAAGTAACGGGGGGGGGGTAGGAACCGCT